AACAGGGTGAGAAGACAACTGAGTTTGATTTTCATGACACACAAAACCACACACAAACTGTGCCAAAGCCATTTTTTGTCAGGAGCCACTGTAGCAAAGAGTGGGATGTTTACATAGATTTCAAACCCTTGAATCTCAGATGAAGAAAACAAGGGACCAGGAAGAAAGAATTAAATTACAAAAGTGTCATTATTATTGTTTGTTTGGGTTTTTTCACTAGAGGATCACACATTCTGTATTAGAGGTGTGTATCCTTCTGATGTGTTTCCCAATGCTACCACTGCAGCCATTCTGAATGCCAGCCTGGGAGAGGGGATGGAAGAGAGCATTCCTTTTAGCCAGGCCTGCAGCAACCCAACTTCTGCCCCCAGGCTTCAGGCCTCCTCTAACTGAGTCACTGTGCCAGCTAGGGGCATACAACAGGACAGTGCTGCTGTGGAATAGCTACACTGATGTTCCCTCAGCCAGTGACCAGCTCAGCAAAAAAAGATCCACATTCTGCTCCGACAGGATTAATCCAAACGCTCCCAGCTGCCTTTGTGTGTTTTTGTGTACGTGCACATGTGTAAACACCCAGCCACAAAAACCATGAAGTCTGCTTATCCCAGCTGTCATGGTAATGTTGCCACACTAAAGCTACATGGCAATACTTGGGAACAGGGAACTTGTGCTTGTACATGCAACACGATTTTATAAACAACTGGCTGATGCTGACAATGTACAACTTGCTCATCCTATAGTGGTTACTTATCTGATACAACAATGTCACAACTCAATCAGGCTTGTGGGTACACAGGAGATGTTTAAATTCATAGGAATACATGTAATTTCTTCAGGTTTTGAGAAAACACCCACTGCAGAATGTCAAGTCAGTGCTCTGACCATTATATATTGCTGGTAGTAAACACAAGGATTCTACCTACACACAAAAGCACTGCACGTGTATATGCAGAGAGCACTACACTCAGCAATAAAAAAGAGCATCTTGCCACTTGTGGACTCATAATCTTAAACCAGACGTTGTCAACATTTTGTGCTGTTTGTCATACAGACTTCAGTGGAAAGACACACAACACCAGAGTATTGTGCTCAAGATGGTAAGGGCCTAATCCAGATACTGCTAGCAAAACAAAGCTGAAGAGTCATTCATGAATGGAAGGCTTGGAGAGCCTAAGATTTCTTTTGTACCTACATGCATACCTTTTAGTCTCTTTTTAAATCTTATCTGCTTGGCAGGTACAAAGGTTGGTAAATACCGCCCGAAGGCACTCACAGCCCAGACCTCCAATCCGGCAAATACAAAGCATACCCTTAACTACTCTCATCCTGTGAACCTCAATTAGGTTCCCCTACTTCAAACTCCCGGGCTGCAGCAGCGATGGCACAGGCTCAGTGGGGAAGCTCTCCCTTCGCCACTCCCGTTCCTTAGCGCACAAGCCTGAGGGTTCAAGGCCCAGCCTTGCTCTTCTGCAGCCCCGGGGCTCCGCACGGAGCCTCGCTGCTCACTGGCCGCGGAGGTGGCTCCCTCAGCCCGTGTCCCGCCAGCGCTCCCAGCCGGGGCCGTCAGGGCAGACGGGACCGCCGGGAATTCCGGGACCGCCGGGAATNCGGCTCCCCGGGGGTGCCGTGTCCCCTCGGCGCCGTGCCACACACGGGTGACATCTGCGCCCGGCGCCGGCTCTGACCCCGACCACCACCAGTGGAGGGGTGCCCACCTTCCCCCTGGCTTGGCGCAGCCTCCTCTTCGTGTGTGCGGGTGCTGCGAGGTGCCGGCACAGCTTCCCCTGTGTTGCCGTCCGTGCCTGTAAGAGACTGAGCTGGCTGCTCTCGCAGCCCGCGCTGGTTGTTGGCTGCTTGTTGCTGCCGCGGTGGGGCAGTGGGAAATCCTGTTATTAAATAGTTACAGAGCCAAGAGTTCCGAGCGATTTGTCACAGACGCACACGGATGCGCACAGCTCCCCCAGGACTGTCTGATTCCCGGAGGAACTGAGCGGATGCGGGGCACAGGCGGGGATTCGGGGCCAGCTGGGGCAGAGATAATGCTCTTCACGGCTGAACTGCACACTCGGGACTGCGGCCTGTGAAGGCATCACGCAACCCTCACGCCCATTCCTAGCGATTGTCCAAAGGTGGCAGCCAAGAGAAAGGCAAATTGTCCCCAGCATCTTCTAAAGAGCTCATTCATTGTTGCAAAGGCTTCAAGACAGAGGTTAACAAAAAGCTCAGGAAACAGCCAGGTCAGAAAGGAATCCTTTTTCCCACTAGGTTAGCCCTCTTTTGCTCTGACCTGTTGGGAGGTTCAACAAACCTCATTTCACTGTTACCTTGGATCCCATAGTCTCCACTGATGCAAGATTTAGTGTCCTGTGATTTAGGTGCCGGCAGATACCCCCGTGCCTCTTTGGCAAGGCTGCTCACACTCACATGCTGTCTGCAGACTACCATTCCCAGCCATGCCTGAGGTTAGACCTGACCCAGGCCATTCCCCAGCCCCTACAGATCCATCTTCTGGTCCTGCTGATGCTTTTGTGTCCTAACAAGTACAGAATGATGACGGTAATTATTTGCAGTAGGGCTAGAGGGATTTGAAGAGAATAGAGGCCTATGCCTGTTATGCTGTGGGAAAGTGTAGTTTGATCCAAAGTGAGGGGTACAGCCTGCACAGACAGATCAGTGTCTGCAAGTGCAGTAGCTGTAACACATCAGGGTAAAAGCTCACCAGCCCCTTGGCTGAGCACAAGGCCTGTCCAGATGTTCTCATGCATGTATATATGTGCTACTGGCAAAACCAAAATCACTCTTTGCCCTCCAGACTGAAACTGAGGGAGGAACCACCAAGGTGGACAAGTGCCTCTTCAAATTTATGACCAGGATCTTGCTGATCAGAGCTGAACCTGACATGATTTGCTCCTTTACTTCTACATATTGGTGATGTTTCTAGGTGTCCCAGTGGTGGATTCATACTCCATTTGACAGTGCACAGCACAACAAAATCACAGTTCACGTGTTTTTATAGTTTTCATCTTTCTTGCTTGTATTACAGGCTGTACAAAAGCATCTATGGACATAACAGAAACATCAGTTAACTCCTGGAGGCTCCCGGCCTATGGGTCAGGTGGAGGCAGAGTGGGAGGAATTAAGAAGCCATGAGCATGGTTGGGAGAGGCTATGTGCAGCCCAAAGAAACAGGGATTCAGATTGCTTTGAAAATTGAGAGCTTAAATTAGCCTGGTATTTGATGATAGCAAGCCTTTGGTGATGATAGCTAGTAAATGCGTGGGGATGGTATGTTTAATATTCTGCACCCTAGAAAGGGAAAGCATTTGAGCTCCCCTGCAGTTTAATGTTTTTAGTGCTGGATGGTTCATAGATATTAGATTGTGTCAGGGACTGTGTGTCTATGAAAGAGAATGAATTTGCAGGTGTATTTGCAAAAACGAGCATCTAGCAGGATACTTGCACATAAAGCCACTGAAGCACCAATCATTCAGACTTCCCCTGTTGAGATCCATTCACGTTTCTTTCCTCCCACAGAACAAACATAATAGTAATAATAATAGGAATTGTAACAGTAACAACAATAACATGTAGTCCCTGCTACTGCACTTCTCATCAGCAAAGAAATGCTCAGAAAAATTCATTTCAATCATTCCCATTCTTCAGAGCTCATAAAGGGAACCAGCTACTACAAAACATTGGCATTTATTGGGTGCTTTCAGACAGCTTAGCCTTTCACTTTTCTAGAAAATCCAGGAATCTCTTTAGAGTGTACATCGAGATTAAGCAGGTCAGGTGGGGAAAATGCCAGAATGCTGATAGCAAATTTAAGAGAGTCACAACCCCTTCAAATCCTTAACACTTGACAGAATTGTTTCTTTGTACTCGGGAATGAAAGAGGTCGTAGCAAGGGAATCAGAAGATCAAACAGTCCCTATAGCTTTTAAGACCTGTAGTGCAGCTTCAGTCAATCTCAGACTGTTGTGAGAATATTGCTTATTCCTTTTGTTCAGAGCATCTTGCATTCTTTTGCCTATATCCCTGGGAAAGAAACTGCAAAAAGGTACATTGTATGTTCCTTCAGGTGTCCTCTTGGCTGTGAGTTACATATTGTATAAAATGCTCTTGGCAGTGCAGAACATTTCAGGATGTGTGTATAGTTCCCTATGCTTAATGCAAGATTAGGTATGTACTAAGGACTTACTGCCCATGAAGCCACCCAGTCTGGTCTTGCTTTCCCACTTTATTTCCACCATGCATCCTTGTTGGCTTATTTTCTCCTGACTGAACAGCCTAAGCTGCTAGATTTAGTAGCCCTCTTTTGTTTCATTGGGTTTTAGTACTTAGTTTTGTGGAGTCTCAAGGGCAGTGAGTGTAAGAAGAATGAATAATAACACGAGCATGATCTTACAGCTAAGTTATGTGCTGAATTAAATTTAGCACTCAAAGCTGTGTGAACAGTTATCAATTTTACCTGTCATCATTTTGCAACTCATAAATCTCTTTTCACTTCTGCCCATATTTTTTTTCCTAGATTCTCATATTTTTCTCATATTTTTTTCCTAGATTCTGAGATGATTTGGCATTAACTGGAATGGGACCTGGTTTAAAACCTCTGCTCTTCACCTACGGAGAAAAAGCAGCACACAGGCACTGCTACTCTTTTAGCACTTGTTAGTCTTGTTGCTTGTTTTGTGAAGACAGTGTTACTCTTAGTGCACATTACAAAATTTGTGGGTTACTGGCTACCAAGCTGCCCTTAAACAGAAAAGTGGAGGAAGTGACCACGATGCCACAGTGTCATTTGGGTGTAATGAACCTGCTTGCTCGCTTGCCAGTTGCCTCACCCATCCAATTTCCTTTCTCTTATTTATAAGCAATGCTGCTGACTCCTCTTTGGATACAAGGACTCGCTTCCCAAGAAGATCAAAACTTCAAAAGATTTGCTACATGCATTGTTTTGGTGTTGGGGCTTTATTTAAATTACTTCCCATTGTCTTTGCTTTTTTTTTTTGCAGGATGCATTAATTTTCATGCCTCTTCATCTGTCAGTTCAGTCATTAATGAAACCACAAAGGTGTGTGCGTTCATTTGTAATGTCAGCACAGCCACCTGAATGTTCCCTGGAGCCACAGCATCTGTCACAGTGAGGGACACACCTTCTCCCCCTGCTCCTCCTGCTGCACCCTCTGTATTCATGCTGAGAGAGCTGACATGAGATGGGAGGTCAGTGTTCATCTGGTAGGGAAAAAGTATGATGAATTACAGTAGGATTTGTGTGGTCTGGAGAGGAAGAGCCTGTTCCTGGAAGTGGTTAAGCAAAGGGGAAAGGACTATACTGGGTTGATAAACAAAAAGGAAAGGCTAAATGCAGGCAATCAATCAGCACTGAATTTGCCTCTTTTCACTGATTTTGCTGTCTTCCACCACCTGCCAGGGAGGTAGAATTGGTTTAATCTGAGTTTCATAGAGCCATGCAAGGCATATTGCATTGCTTTCAGTGCTGAGGTCGTCCTCCATGCCTGTTCCCTGGAAACCTTGTTGGTGTCTGCTCACAGCCCTGGTCCCATAAAACAGTAGGCAATCAGCTCTATCTGTATTCTTGGTTTGCATTTTCCTCTTTTCCCCTTGAATCTGTTAATTTATTTAAATTCCTCCTCTCATACCTTGATTCTATTATAGGTAAAGGTCAGACTGACTTGCTCTTCTCTTTTTAGACATTGTAGCATGATCCTTCACTTTTAGGAAAAAAAGCCTGCAACTCTGGGATGCTTCATTCCTGCAGCTTTCCGTTTATGACAGATCAGAGTGTTGATATCTTGTCCTGTACTGGGTAACAGAAATTGCCATATTACTAAGATTTCTCTCCAGATTATGTAGATGGCTCTTGGCTATTTCTGTGGACCAAAACTGTATGTTGCCTCTGCTTCTGGCTACATATGCCATTGCTGGAGATCAGAACTCTCTGGAAAAGCAGGAGATTTCACCATTACCTGAACAGCTAGAAAGTGGCAGTGGAGTGTGCAGGGGCTGGCAACAGGACACTGTTGCCTGCAAAATTCTTGTGATGCCAGCTGGGGTAATGCCAAGCTTGTGACTGTAGTGTGCCATTGACTATGGAGCTGCTGCAAAAATATGGGCAAGAGACAACATGTGGAAAGGGCTCCAGACTTACCAAGGCTGGCGTGACACTAAAGGCAAGATTTACTTGATGTGATGAGAGGTGAGGAATAACAAAAAGCTATGAATTGCAGAGTGGTACGTGTTGGGAGAAGTTGGTGGTGTTGCAGGACATTTTATGTGTTTTACATTACAGGTAATTTTCAATGCTTTCAGGGTCACTGGATAAGACAACATTGTCTGAGTCATCAAGTGCTGTTTCTTGCTGTTGTAGGCCCATTGTCATTCAATCCCTTCTTGTAAACTGATCAATCTTTAAAGTATCAAGTCTCATTCCCACACAATGCTCACTGGGAGACTGTTCCAGAGTCTCTTTTGTCTGATGCTTAGGAACCATCTCCTAATTACCAGCTTAAATGTATACATGGTTAGCTTGCATTCTTTTGTTCTTGTGCCAACATCTTATTTTAGCTAATATAATTATTGTCTTTTGTTGCTGTTTTCACTCAGAAGTATTTCTAGAGAGCTGTCATACCTGCATTCATTCTCATTTTGCAAATTGAATATGTCTCTCAAAGGAAAGAAAAACTGTACTTCATGGAGACATCAACCCTTCTTTCCCCAAATATGTAAAAGCAGTTAGCCCTTGGTATGGGGGTAAATATAGCTGGTCAGGGATACAGTGACTGTTTTTTGTGATTGCACTACTGTTTGTTTGCAAACTTGCTTAAAGAAGCCTCACCTCTCACTGCTCACAATCTGAAATAAAAGTAAATCAAGCTCGCTTTTCTGGATTAAAGAAGAACCTAAAAATAATGACCTGTGGCATCACAATCTGGTACAAGAGAACAATCTAATGGGGGATTTTGCAGTCTAGGCTGTGGCTGAGCTCATGCTGGGAAAGACGGAGGAATGAAAGGACTCTATAAAATGAATTTTAGCTGTTCTTTGCACCAAGCAGACAGAAGAGTCATAAAAAATTTTGTGTGAAGACAGTATTGGTCTGAAGTGTAAGTACAAACGTGGGATAAACATAAAATGAGAACATTTTCTTTCTAATGCACATCAGAAACCTTCAGAAGTTAAGGTGCTTCAAGATGAATCAGAGTGGAAGCTCCTTCAGCTCATAACTCACTGCACCATGCAACAACATTTTGAAATTTCTTCTTTTCTTTCATCAGTTGCTCTCCAGATGGAAGTTGAAGGTTTTCAATATTGTCTGGGGATGCTGAAGCTGTGACAGTCTGAGAAGCAGTTTTGACCAGCCTCCTGGTAATTCTCAAATCCTTATCATGTGCCTGGGCTGGGCACTGATCACTTGTACACAAGGGGGATAAATTGTTTTCCCATGAAGTGCTGGTCCCAAATAAAGAGCCAGCATGGGTTGGTTCCAAATGGGGAACCAAATGGGTCTTCCCCCACATTTATTTTGGTGAGAAACCTAGGGAAGAGTTTGGTGGGTTTCAGTCATGATGTCAGAATGGGGGAAAGTAAAAAAAAAACAACCCAACACAAAACCTGTTGTTTGTTTCTATGCAGGATATAACAGTGTACTTGTATAGAGAGAAGCAGAGAGATTATACCAGTGTATATCCCAGTCATAACTCATTTCTTTTCTTAGCAGTACCAGCCAGGGAAGGCTATTGAGTATTGGTGCTGCACTTGGAGCACAGAAAGAATGGGATGTTTTGCAGTCCTAGATTCAATTCATGGTTAAATGTCTCAGGTAATGGAAGCATTTACCACATCACTCAAGAGCATTGTATTGTCTGCTAGATTTCATAAGCAAGGAGTTTTCTTTTTTATTTGGTCGAGCTGCTTGCTTTTTCTGAAGAAATAAATGACCAAATAAAAAACAAATCTGAAAACCTCCCCCATTGAGCCTATTACAGTTATTGCCGTTTTTGTCACATTTTCCTCCTTGAAATGCATTAGTTTCCAATTGAAGGAACCTGAAGAAAAGATGACTATTACCAAGAAATTTGCAAATTAGCACAGCTCAAACCACCCCCACATCAGTATTCTAGTAAAATGAGCGAGGCTGGGCTAAAACCTCTATGTATTTATTTGGATCGTTCTATATTTGGATTTAGCAATCCTATTACTGAGCTAAAATTTAGGACTCTTTAGACACATTTGTCCTGGAAACAGCACTGGTAAACTATAAGCTCTGATAGGTGGGAGGATGAGGACAGTGTCTAAACAAGGAGAAAAGTAACAGACGTTCTTCCATTTCTATTAAGTGTGTTTGCATATTTTCAGCACATTCAACAAATGAATAGTTCTGTGCTTGGACAAAATTAGTGGTTAAAGAGGAGCAAAATGCACCAAGTATGGTGTGTGGGATATTGCAGTGCTATTATGCAAATTGGTGCTATGTCTTCAGCAGGAGTTTTCAGTTCAATTTAGATATACTCCAAAGGAGGAGAAGACTATGTTTTAGTCAGATCACTGGGATGAGACATAGAAAAACTCCCACATAAGGGAAGATTAAAACATAGGTGAAAAGATGAAGAAGGGATGGAAAATGTACCTTACACCATGTAAGGTAGAGTGCAGATGTGACCACTAATCACTGAGAACTTTTTGTGAAACAAGGAGAAAGGAGAGCTAAGTGGAGAGGGAAATAACTGGTAAAATGATGGTTTGTGCTATGACAAAAGGAGCCAGTGCTTTAAGGTTTTTTGGAGTACAGAAGCACAATTTTAAGTAAGGGTGGAAATGTCTGTGTTAATTCTAGTGTAATTACTATAGTTGGAAATTCACTTTCAATTTAAACTCTTGCATTCTGTAAAGCAGAGCCCTGCCATATTCCAGAACAGAAGTCAAATTTGAATTCTGAGAACCTGTCAAGAAATGCTCATGGGAGACAAATGATCACATAAACGTCAAAGGCATCATTTCTTAAATCTTTCTGCTCTGGACATTGCTAGCAGTCATGTCTCAGCAATACCTTTTGGGCTGAATGTGGATCTACACAAGATTATGTTCATTATGTGCTGAAGACTGTATTTTTCACAGTATTCCTCTCCTTACCACAGGTAAGTTCACAGTTTATGTCTGTGTTATTCTGCACTACTAAGCTAGTGCTACCTGCCAAGATTTACATCTTCTCTTAAGCTCACATGGTTATAAAACTCACTAGATGGCAGCAGTGCCATTTCTGGTCTCCTGTTGTCCTGAACTCCTGGTCACAGCTGTGTGCTCTGGGGTGCTCCCTTTAGCCAGTTCCCAGCTTTGCAGGGTATGCAAGGACAGCTATACCTACCGAGAAAATACTTGTCTCTTCCTCAGCAAGAGATTTGTGCTCTCCATTTGGTGTCTTTGCAAAAGCTGGATTTTAATGAGTGAGCCCTTATTTTTTCTTCAGATTCCTTGTTTTTCTCTGAAATTGCCCCAGTTTGTAGCTTGCAGACACTGGTGTGTATATATATATATATATATATATATATATCTATATCTCAGGTATGAAACTCGATAACAGGAATTTGTTATTGGCACTGTTTGTTGTTGTTGCACTGTTGCAGCTGTCTTTGCTCAACAAAATGCTAAAAGCAAAGTGCTAAGAGGAGAGAAATACACTGGAGAATTAAAAAAATCAGAATAATTTTGGTCTCAAACAATCCTCAAGTTTCCCAGTTCAGGAATTTCCTGGGAAAAGGAACAATTCCAGCCAGTTCCCCACCTACAACCATTAGACTCTGAGGCTCCATAGCAGTGTGATGAATGGGTGCACAGCCTATCTGGTGGGGTCAGTGTTGTTTTGCTTGTTTCACAAAGAAATCTCACCTTTTTCCAAAAGAAAACTTTTCCCAAAGAAAACTTAAGCAGTCTCCAGGAACCCTTCAGATGTCAGTGTTAAAACCAGGAGAAAGTTTCCTCTGGTGGTCACAATCTGGCCTTTGTAGGTTCAGTAGCTCCTTCCCCATCTGCTTCAATGACAAGCTGAACTCTACGGCATGGGCAAGAAGGAAAGGTTATTGTGATTCTTCTGGCTTGTTTTTTTTACAGATCCTCCCCCCACTCCCGTCCCCCAGTCAAAAACCAACCCACACTTTTATTCCTCATAAAAAAAAGCTCTTTTCAATGGTATTTTAGGTCTGGAAATGGACCAAGGCAACTATTCAAATGTCCTGGGAAGGATGTGGCTCTTGGCTCTTGTCACAGATCTTTAAGACAACCTTGACCAAATTTTCACAAAATCAAGATAGTGCTCCTGTCCTTTGCAAAAAGGCAGATGGGGGTTTCAGAACAGAAGGTCATCAAACATAATTCTGGATAGAGATTCTTCCAAGGTCACCTCCTCTGTAATTTATGAAAGTACTGATTTTTTTTTTTTTTTTTAAATCAATACTGGGGATTGGTGCATCTGGAAACTGTCAGAAGGTTAAGGGCTTAATTATTATTCCTAGAAGTTCCTCTTACAGTTGGTGGTGGAAAGCATCCCCCAAACAGGTGCTAATCCATGCATTTTTGAGGCCTTCTTTACACAGCCAGAGTTGTGGAAAGGTAGATAGAAAAGGAGACCATTTTATGTGTTTGCACACACAAATACACATTTTGGGCTACAAATTTTCACTTTCACATTTTCCCTCCTACTTCACTTGCTCCATGCTGTCCTTCAGCAGGGGTTGGAATTTTGAAATGGATTTAAAACAAAAATACATGCTCTGTTTCATTATGAGCATATTTCAAGGGGAAAATGGATTGTATTTTTATTGGATGCACTGAATGCATTCAATTGCAGCAACTTTTATTATTTTGAAACAAAGTTTTGTTATTCATACAAGAGCCTAAGTGGTACCTACAATGCCAACTCAAAGCATTTTTCTACAGCTCATTTTTAAATTAGCCTTTAGGATTTTCTTGACTAAATCAAGCCTCAGGAAAGAGAAGCTTGCAGGGGGGAAATCACTGCATTAGAGGTGATAAAATGAGAAATGAGAGAGACTGAACATCAGTGCAAACTCATCAGCATTAGAATAAACTCAGAAATAGACATTCTACATTTCCATAATTCTGTCAGCTGCCACTACAGAGACAGGGATCTATTACCTCTGTTTATACTGCTGCTAACTTAATTTATTGCAATTTATTGTATAAAAGTAGACAGTAACTTGACTGGCTGGGAAAAAAATTCCCTTTGTGCTGAAAATAAAAATGATAATGCACATAATAGATTTCTGAAAGTAATTTGAATGGCCGGTTAAAACACAAGGTGAGTTAGATGTATTTTTAGTAAATCTCAGCACGAATTACCTACTTTCATATGCACATTTGCAGATGGATCGATAAAGGGCAGACATGGGACATTTACTTTGTAAGATTGGATGGGCCCAGATTATTCACCACTTGCAGGCTTCTTTATTTTGCTGTGGCTGCATGGGAGGATGAAGCAAGAGCAGAAATGGGCACAATGCCCCCAGGGCTGAAATCAGGTGCCTATTCATGATCAGCTTTGTGAGGAAAGAATCTGACACAGCTTTGTCCCAGAAAAAATGGGAAGTTCATGACATTTCTGTCCAGATGGTGGAGAGGATAAGAAACACCAAGCTTTCCATAGCTTTCAATCTAAGGAAGTATCTGTAAGATATTTTTCAGGCAGACACTGATTTTGCTCCAAACCAGTTGACACGAGCCCCAGACCGGAGGCTTTTGCTAATGCCTGTCCCTCATCACGGTGTCTCAGCTCAAACTCAGCCCTGTGCTCACCACCACTGCTCCATGTTCGGTCTGGAGCTGGTGGCATCCTGTCAGACTGGCTCCAGAGCAAATTGACATTGGTTTGCAAGATGCCATGAAGACAAACCTAGAGGTGGTGGGATCTCAGCCCTTTGTTAAAGCCCATGGCCTGACCCTGTCAGACCTGTCCTGCTTTCCAACACTGGTCCTCAGTCTCTTCACTCCCTGAGCAGGAGTCTGGACCTTCTCTGTAGCAAACAAGCCTCTTGGTGAGAAGCTTGCTCTTCTTAAGTACCTTTCAGGCCCCCTTAGAAGTAGTTCATGGGTCTCTAGGGGTGCATAAACCAGAGATAGAAAACCATTGCTCTGGCAAGCCTAAGTGATACAATCATCAGCCTGCAGGTACACATGTGCTTAAATGTTTTGCTGATCAGAGACAAACTGCTGAACCGGGGCCTTGGGAGCTGCCTTGCGACCACAGTTACTCCCTTTATGACATGAAGTTGATCTTTAAACTGAGGTGGAATGCTTTTCTGTTGCAGCATAACCTGGTTTTGCAGGGAATAGGAAAGGGAGGATAGGACTGGCAATAGTTTGTAGCAATCTGTGCTCAGAATTAAAATATGTTGGAGCAAAATTAGAAGTACTGTCACTGCTGTACAGATACTACAGGTTTAAATAAAACAGGGGATGAGGTAGCTGAGAACTGAGTTGCATGGACCACGACACAAAAGGAGAAATGTAACATAGAAACAGCCAGGTCTGGCACATCTGATAAGGACTTTGGCTGGAGAGAGGCATGAGGAGTTTGCACACGTCATCTTTCTTTCTCCAGAGAGTGCTGGTCCAGAAGAATCTCACATCTCAGGACATTGTCATGAGCAAAAAAGAAGCCCCTATCACATTTGGCATCACAGTGATCCTACTGTCTGGCATCTCCAGTGTTTCCAAGATTAACAGGTGTGTTTGCTCTCATGTGGATGTCACTTCAGAACTGCAAGGTCTACAATGATAGCCCGTGTTTTTCAGCCCAGCTCCTTCCATGTCTCACACAATTTGGAGGCTCCAATGTGCTTTCCCCTGAGCAGCTGCAGGTTGTCACCACATCCTCACCTCCCACGGCTGTGGAAATTTCTGGGGTTTGTGCTGCTGTGCAGGATGGGAGAGGACTGGCAGAGTCCCCTCACAAACAGCCTTTGCATGGACTCCCTCCAGCATGGCAACTCACCTGGCATACACACAGCCCCTAGGTGAGTCCCATCTGGATGGTGCAAAAAGCCAATTCTGAGGGCAAGCTCTCAGGTTGGTACCTCTTGCTTTGTCTGTGTCAGTGCCTCAGGATCAAACCAAGTGGTAGAACTACTTTGTTGATATCTGTGCTGCTTCAGTTGTGAGCTTTGTAAAAATAGTTGTTGATAAAACAAAGCTGGACTATGTTTAAAAGTCAAACTAGTTTTCTCTGCTTCAGCCACCTTAATTTGTGTCTAGGGGAGGCTTATCCAGCTGCTAGCTACAAACTTCCTGCTGCAGGACTGTGCTGCATTATATGTCCCTGCTCCACTCAAAGGGAAAAGAGGAGACAAGGGAAGTGCTGAATTTAGAAGGGTTTTGATTTGATATTTCAAGGCTTTACAAAATACTCAGGCAGGGGTCTGTGTAGACTCCTCATTCTAACTGAAATTTTAGGTTAAGAAGAACAAGCTGTTGATTCATTGACTTAGGTCTTTAGTTCTGCAAACCAGCAGGGAATTGATTTATAAAAGGTGAGAGTCTAGGACAGTCTGGAAGCCCACATCATGAGTAAGCATACAAAAAGATTTATAAGAGTGCAAAAGGATAATGTTTCTAGTCCTTATTGGTTTTTAGCTGCTTAAATACCGCAGTAGGTGTCAGAGGATTAAGAACTTTGAGGATCTGCCATCTTGCACATCACTTAAAACCTCCTAACGGGGTTAAAAGAGCACAGACGAATTTTCTGAAGTTTGGCATACGTCAGCACCTGTTACAGTCTCTCCAAATTCATACAGTCAAGCAGACAACACTGGCATGTGCAACAGCATTGTGGGAAGGAAGGGAAATGTCACAATGTGTGGAAAAAGGTGGCAGGTCTAAGACATGGTGCCAGCTGAAGCAGGATGCCAGGTTGGTTGTTGGAACAGGGAACTAGACAGAGGGTGAGGAGTGACACTGAAGTAGTGAGCGCTGAAGTGCAAAGCAACACACGTGTCAAGTTGAAATCTTCTCACTGTACAGGATGTACCAACACAAAAAGAAACATTGCCCATGATTTCAAGCCTGCTTGAAAATTTTACTTTACTGCTCCTTGAGGGCCTCAGCATAACAGTTTATTATCGATGTGAAAGCAAGAGATTCCTAGGAAACATGGTTAAATAAAGATTTGAACTTTAAAAACTTTGATCATAGGGATAATTTGTGTCCACTTCAGCCCAACTTACTTAACATATAGAATAGCTCATGACAGCATTTTTGATAGTAAACATTTAGAAATAATTTTCTGACCACACATCAGAAAGAAGAGTCAGTTAGCAGTGCAATGTAATGCATTCAAATGCAACACATACCACACTACTCAGCCACTGCAGGTTATAAACAACATCACACATTGCATTCAAATAGCTGCACTGTTAGGTCTGCAGAACTCCACGAGGTTTGCCTTCAAGTGCCATCCTGCTCTGAAAAGTAGCCTCTATAAAGCTCATTGTGTGGCTCTGAGTTTATTCAATTGTTCTAGTCCTTGTCAGATCATATTGCTTAGAAGAAAACCATGGAATCGTAGTTGTTTGTGTTAGAAGGGACCTTAAGCACATCTCATTGCAACCTCCCTGCCATGGGCAGGGACACCTTCCACTAGACCAGGTTGTTTAAAGCCCCATCCAACCTGGCCTTGAATACCTCCAGGGATGGAGCACCCACTGTTTCCCTGGACAGGCTGTTCAGCTGCCTCACCACCCTCACAGTAATTTATTCCTAGTATCTAATTGATCTGTACCCTCTTTCAATTTAAAGACATTAGCCCTTACTAACTAGATGACTCTCTAAAAAGTCCCTCTTCAGCTCTCTTGTAGACCCCTTCAAGTACTTACAGGTGTGATAAGGTCTCCCCAGAGCCTTCTCTTCTCCAGGTTGAACAACCCCAACTCTCTCAGCCTGTCTTCATAGGAGAAGTGCTCCATCCCTCTGATCATCTTTGGCTTCTTCTGGACTTGCTCCAAAAGGTACATGTTCCTTCTTACTTTGGGTGCCCCAGAGGTGGATGCAGCACCCAGGTGGGATCTCACCAGAGCAGAGCAGAGGGGCAGACTCTCCTCCCTTGCCCTGCTGCCACACTGCTCTTGATGTGGCCCAAGACAAGGTTGGCTTTCTTGGCTTACAAGTGTGCATTGTAATGGAAGGATGCTTCCTTCTATTCAAGGAAGATGCCTTTTTCCTTCTGTTTCTCAGCTCAGTAGATGGGTTCAGAGAAGAAAGATAGATTGTCCTTCCGAGTCATCTCAAAGAGGATAACTGATACATGAAAGATTTCCACTATGTTTGGGCAGCCCTTGTTTTCTCACCTGATTACACTGCTGCTGGAGCATTCATCACAGTATTTGCTTTTTATAGAAGCCAGCTTTACCTTTGCTGCCCAGTGTCATTTAGGTTGAGTTGCATTTCAAGGTAAGGCAGCTCACAGGTCAGCTGTGGTATGGCCTCCTTCTTTTGGTGTCTGTTCTCAAAGGTCTGTCCAGCCTTAGATTCCTGGGGACAGATAAAAAGCACCATCAGACACCAAAGGGTGCATATCTGCTTGTGTGTGCATGAATCAACATCCCTTTTAGCTCTCCTAGATAGCTGACTCCTACCTGTCCTCTTCTCCTTTCTTTCCCCTCCTTTTGTGGAGGTTTTTCTGTTGCTTCAGCAGGCAGGCATAGATAGATACGTGCTGAGACTTCAGCCCTGTTTTCCAAAGAGGGCTCTCCAGGAGACAGGGGACAACAGAAGGGACCTGGCAGGAGGAAAGGCACTGTGAGCTGTGAGCACCAACACAGCACAGTGTCCTTTTTGGGGTGGTAAGTTCCACCTCAAGTTCTTATGGTCGGGGTATACTCAGGTGTCTCTTGCTTATGGATCCTCTAATCTCTGAGTGCTGAGCTGACTCTTGAATGTTTTTTTTTTTCAGCTGTGCTATTCAAGTATTCACCACTCAGACAGCTTTTGTTCATTGACTTGTTAAGATATAAAAGTCTTTGACCCTCTTTGTCCAGTCTCTCTGGTCTCACAATCAGCCTCTTCAGAAGCTACTCATGAGAAGGGAGAAGGACTGAAACCTGATTGTTTTATTAATTTTTTTATTTTTATTAACTTTGTTTCTGTGGGAAAGCAAGATAACAAGTATGTATCCAGTTAGTTTTCCACCATCTAAGAAGATGACTTACAATATTTATGCATCTAGTTTCTTCTGACATGCCTGTGGGTCTCATAATCTTCTCTGACAGTCTTCTAGGAAATGCTGATAATGAGGAATCTTTGCTTTTCCCAACATGCTTGTTTGTTTTCTTCCTAATGCACTCTACGGCAAGGACAAGATCTCATGTGGGGTCCTATCTACACTATCTTAACAGAAACATTTACACCTTCTGCTTTAATTAACAGTGAGCTTGACTTGACTTTCCAAAACCAGAGGATGAATTTTCCTTACCTGTAGCTGTGCAGCTTTCTCTGACTTGGAGATCAGACAGGTGCATGACAGGTAGCACTAAGCTTCTTCCAGCGTTCCCACAGGTATCACCATGGGGAGAGAGTCTCCCTTGCTTTTTCTCAGAATAAACTGCTCAAATCCCTCCATAACCTCTAAGGGAGGGGAACTAACTCAGACATAAACACTACTTTCAGCTACAAGCTGCTTATCTGAGAGCTGAGCAGGGCTCTGTACGGGAACCCCTTAGGAGGCACTCCATGCCAGGCTTCCTTTCCAAAGCAAGCAGTCAGATGGTGAGCCCCACAGCGAGAGACAGTGATACAGATTGAACTACCCTACCTAGCCACCCCAGCAGCCTTGAGCAGGTTCCCCAGGCTGTTGGCACTGCTCTGACACAGGGAGTTCCTGTCCTTGCTGTGCTGCCTCACATCCACAGGCTTGATGGCTAGATGGGGCTCGAGGACTGCTGCCTTTGGGGCATCCTCAGCTGCATGTGTTTGAGTTTTGGTAGCGGTGCTCCCTGGCCCCTGTCCTGGCTGTGCAATCCATAAATGGACCTTGATGACCTCCACCGCTGTCCTTGGGCCCTGACAAGGTCTCATCCCCATGAGCTGCTGTAGATTAGCAGACTGGTAGTAATGCAGGAAGAGGGAAGTCACCTGGGAAGTAATAGTCATAATGAAAAATAGTTATCCTCTCACTCAAGGGCAGTTTAGAGGAAGGTGAGAGCAAAGGATAGTTTCTTCCTTTTATATCATTACAAGAG